ACTCAGATCTTGTACTTGAGTAAAAGTAGAAGTACTCAGATCTTGTACTTGAGTAAAAGTAGAAGTACTCAGATCTTGTACTTGAGTAAAAGTAGAAGTACCAGAGTGTAGGAATACTCTGTAACAGTAAAAGTCCTGCATTCAAAATGTTCCTCAAGTAAAAGTAGAAAAGTATTCTCATCAAAATATAGTGAAAGTAGCGACAGTAAAAGTAGTCATTGTGCAGATTGGTCCATTTCAGAATAATATATATGATATGTTTTATAATGATTGATCATGAAAGTGTTCTCAAAGCTGGTAAAGGTGCAGCTAGTTTGAATGACTTTGTATACTGCAGGGTAGCTTGTGGATTTACTCCAGGTGGAACTAAAGTCTGATTTAACACTTGGTTATATTTCACATCATTCATCCACATCTGTAAAGTAACTAAAGGTATTAAATACATGTAGAGGAGGAGAAGTACACCATGTACCTCTGAACTGTGGAGTAGAAGTACACAGTAACATAACATAGAAAGACTTATCTAAAGTGCAAGTGTGTCAAAATTGTACTTAAGAACAGTTATTGAGTCAATATTCCGTACTTCACCTCTGCTTCTACTTTAGTAAATGTCTTTAGTAATTTGTCGTTATGTTGGTGAATACAGTTTTATTCTGAGTGTCCCTTCTTTGTGCGTATGTGCTTGGCTTTCATGATTAAGTAACTAAGGGTATTAACTAAATGTAGTGGAGTAGAAGAACACAGGAGCATACAATGGAAATATTCAACCAAAGCACTAGTGTGTCAACATTTCACTTAAGTACAGTACTTAAAATAAATGTACTCTGATCCAGAAACAGTTGTAATCCCACCCACCTCCTGCAGGAGTCCATTCACCGTGGAGGGGGTTTCTTTGGGGCAGGAGGAGGAGAGAGCCGCCACACAGCGAGAAACAGAGAGATACGACTGTCTGTGGATCAGGGGGGAGGAAGAGGAGGAAGAGGAGGAGGGGAGGTTGAACGGATCTGTGAGAGACTTCAGCAACTGACTGAGAGGAGGAAGAGGAGGAGGAGGATGAGGAGGAAGAGGGAGAGAGAGGAGGGAGAGGAGGATGTAAGAAGTAAAGGTTTAATCGTCATATCAGAATCAGAAACGGTTTTATTACCAAGTAGGACGAGAACAAAAAGTATTATGAGAAAGTATGAAGACGTCAGGTAACCCACTTCTTTGAGGTTAGATTGTTGTGTTGACTTTTTGGTTTCATGTTAGAGTGATAATTGGTTGCAAGTAGCTGTGACTCACCATCGATATATGAGTAAGGGGTCAAATGCTCCCTGCTCCTTTCCATAATGCACTACAACAACTGCCTTAAGTGTACATGTTTGGTTTTATAATAATAGCCATGAGAAAAAAACTATAAATAAAACGTGCTTTAGTTTTAAATGGTGCATTCAAAAACACAGAGAAGAATACATTGTTTTGTTTTTTTAAAGCAAGGAGCAAAAAATAACACAGTGCAACATGGATTTACAGAATTAAAAAGATAAATATATGCACAGAAGCTACAGTCCCACGCTCGGCTACACACACACACACACACACACACACACACACACACACACACACACACACACACACACACACACACACACACACACACACACACACACACACACACACACACACAAACACCTGTAGGGAGGATGCATATGTTTG